TTTGATGATTTCACGAACCCTTTTCATATAACCAGGTGTTCCATAATCAAACTCGAGTGAACCAAGCCTATGAGTCATAGGGATGAACTGTCGTGAATCATATTGTCTTTGAACCATAAGGGGTGCGTAACTCACTGCCCCCCATATTCCTAACAGAGGTATCCATGACTCATCTCTACAACTATATAAGATAGCCATCGGAAGCATCCATGGTGCCCTCCATGTTACATCTTCACTAGTGAGCTTTAAAAAGAATGCCAACCACTGACCTTTTATCCAATCTTTTCTCCATTCTTTAGTCATAAACTCCTTGATAGAACTAAAATGCACAGAGAATGGTCGAAATGATGCCTTCTCTTTTCCCCAAAAATGGCTTCTGAGCCAGACAAACAGTAACTGAGCACACCCCATAAATCATCATTCACCCTTTCTTCAACAAAAATTAAGTGATCTAAAAGTTTCTGCCAAAATAGTTGGTGAAGGGTTTATACCTTTATCTAATTGCTCAAAGAAATCAACCACTGATGCTTCTATATGTCCTAAAACCTTAGGGAATATCATCAATCCATAGATGGCCAAAGCAAACACATCCAACCCCTGATCGGTATCAATATACTTTTTTATGTACTCGAGCAAAAAAGCTGATGGAATGATGTCAACCCTATTTTTTTCTTTCTTGTGCTTGTCTATCTCTTCAACCTCCACTTGCATGATCTTGGCTAATTTTTTTCTATATCCAGTGTCTTATGCTCTTTCCAATAGATCTTGTCTTGATTGGTAGATTTTATCCGGAGTAAAGAAAAATATTCTTCGATCGTGGGAGCCAAGTCTTCTTGGTTGAATACAAAGCATCGATAAGATGGATCCCAAAACTATATTGTGACTCTCATTAGCTGTTCATCAACCTTTACAGACATAAGCAGTGCCACATCCCCGTATTTCTTGGAAAAAGATTCTTTTTTCTCTATTCTCCACTGTTTCCAAATGGCTTCCAATTCTTATATATTATTCTTACTGAGATCCATATGCACTGACTATGGTAGCACCGATATATGACCATCTACTAAGCAATCTCCTTCTTTCCCTTGAGTATCTTCTGAATGGGTCTTGACCTCTAAGTAGCTCTTACACACAGACAACATCCTTTAGGTTTTTTTTTTGAAAGTTTTTTTTGTTGAAGATTAGTCCAAAACAATACCCTCTAAAAATATAGTACCTATATGATGCATGCAACAAAATTGAAGACAATAAAACAAATCAAGAATGTAAATAAAACAAATAAATAAAACTGAGTAAATGAATGAACAAGCATATCAGAATATACGTAGTGTTCTAATTTAGATAATTTTCTCGTAAAAGGGATAGTATGGCTCTATCCTAAAGTTGGACTTCAGGGTTCACTATATGTCGGGTTAAGATTTATATGTCTAAAGGTTCCCAGACTATTCCTCACATCATCGTCCATTATAGACTAGTAAGGCTCCCCGATCCTCACCCATTACAGGCTACTAACGGAACAGGTTCAATCTGAGTGGAAGTGTTTCGCTAGCAAATGCGGAGGTTATCACCTCACGAGAGCGTAGCTACTTCACTTCCTCCTGAAAGGATGGAGCCCGGGTATAGAGCTTATGTATGCGAGTGAATATGCAAAGTGTGTGCAAGGTACTGTATTAATCAAAATAACATGAATAAATCAAAAACAAAATCAAAATGAAGTAATAACTAGCACATAATTTATTTCATTTATTAACATGACTATTTTCAGAAAAATAAAATAAAAGAAATTAAATTAAATATCAAATAAAATCAATTAAATCCAACCGTTGTCAATAGCGCATAATTAAAATTTTGGCCTGACTTTCAAATAAGTCCCCAGTGGAGTCGCCAAGCTATCGTAAGGGTTTTGGGACCGCCAGACGTAAAAATGAGTTTTTGTTTTAAAAAAGGAGAGTCGCCACCAATCTTTATTAGGATGTGATTGGCCACCTAAAAGTTTATCTTTTTAATAAAACTATAAAAACGAGTTTAAAGTTTATCAAAAAGATATATTTCGGTCTACGAAAAATCAAGTTGGGTCCGGGAGTCGGTTACGCGTGGGGAATGATTAGCACCCCCACAACGCCCATAAATTGGTACCATTCAACTATGCGCTATTTTCGGTGTCGGATAAAAATGGTTTTAATTTGAAATTTAACACTAATTCCCTTCATAAGAAAAAATTTGCTAAAATATTAATTTAGAAATATTGAGAAAATCTTTAAGTTAAAGAATTATCTTAAAATTCTCCATCGTCTAGGCAGAATTTAAAATAACTCTTTTCGCCTAAGATTTAACAGAATAATCATTAAAATAAAATAACAATCTTTATAGGAAATAATTGTTAGTGACTCTCTAACATCTAAGCAGAGTACCAAGAATTATTTCTCTCAGAATGTTATTTTTTATTTTATAATATCACAAAAAAGATTTTTTTTATTATTATTCTTTTTTATTAAAAAAATATTTTATCTGGTTTAAAGAGAGAGTAATGCAATCAATTATTGATGACAACATGCTAACGTATATCATGCTAATGAATGTCATGTAAAATTAAATGCAATTTAAGAGTTGGATTCTTAAATATAATGAGACCACCCCGACTCTCTAACATCTAGGCAGAGCTTAGATGCGACTGTTTATATTTAAGATCTCGATTTTATTATACTTTTTATTTATTAATCTTATTATTAATACGAATTAAAAAATCGTGTGAAAAGACCTCACGAAGTAAAATTTCCTAAATACCCCATCATCTAGGCGGCATTTGAGAACAAATTGCTTCAAATAGAATTTTCACACGTGTCCTTAGGATTTTTTTTTTTTAGGACTTTGGATTTCAAGGATTTTGGATTTCGGGGGGTTTTGGATTTAATGGATTTTGAATTTTATGGGATTTGGATTTAAGAGATTTTGGATTTTTAGGAGTTTTAAAAACCTATGATTTTGAAAATTAAGAATTAGTGTTTAAGGTTTCGTTTTTAAGAAAATACGAACATCTCTAAAAATCTCCAACATCTAGGCGGATTTTCGAAGCAAGTTCGATTTTAGTGATTTTTGAAAATTAATTTAAAAATTTTTTATATTTATTTTTTTATGAAAATTTATTAATAATAATTCCCCAACATCTAGGCGGAATTACTTCTTTTTTTAAAAACTATTTTTATTCCCTCCAACATCTAGACAGGGAAAATAATAACAATTATTTTTTTTGAGCATCTTAATATATTTTAATTATTATTTATTTTCAATTTTATTATTATTAAAATAATTAAACATTTATTCTAATAAATTTATCATGCATAAATATAAAAAAAATAACAAAATAACAAAAAAAATAATAAAAACTTAGAAAATTTAAAAAAAAAATTTTTTTACCTAAACCGGACCGGTCAACGGTCTGGTCAATGATGGTCTAGGCGATCTAACCGGTTCTGCGGTTGGATCAGTGATTCGGGTGATCTGATCGGTTTAGTTCGGTCCACTGGCGGTTCGTATGAACCGGTTCAAGGCTGGCTGAAACGGGTCATTGGGTCAGGTTGCATCGATCTCGAGTAAAGTTCGGGTCAACGCGCGGATCCTTCTTTGGTT